CTTCCACCTACTTGCGTCCGCCCCCAAGTTACCAGAGGAGACAATACCCTCCCCCCCTCTCCCCTCTCCCCTCCATCCTGCCACTACCCCACTTCCGGTGACCTAGTCAGCCCCCACCTCAGCCCCACCTCGCCTTAACCCGCACGCACCTACGCGTCTCCCGCCATTCCCCCCCCCGACTACCCTCTAACCTGTTATCCCGCAATAACCTTCCTCTCCCCCCCAGGCGCCCAACCCCTCCTCTATCCACACCGGCCCAACTCATGCCCAGCTCATGTCCCCGTCTCTGTCCTAGCCTATCCTCGTACCTCGTCCTCACACCCCTACCGGCGCACCTCCACCTCCACGCCGGCTCTTGCTCTAGTTATTCACCCCATCTCATCGCAGCATAGGAACACCCCCTCTTCGTCTCGCCCCACCACAGCTAGTCTTCCCCCTCCCCAATCAAGCCCACTCCCCTCTCCCGCTCCCCAACACCTCGCCTCGAACCATTCTCGAACCATTCCAACCCGCTTCCCACTAACCCGCCCGCCTGAGATACATCCCCCCTTCTTCGAGCGCTTCAATCATTGTTTCGATCATCTCCGTCCATCCCTGTAGAAGATAACACCCGACACCGTCGGTAGTATATTGGGAAAAAAATAATAATAAAAATAATAATAATAATAAAAAATATCGGTTCCTTTCTTGCCTTCATTCCAAATCAGGTCTAACCCAACCCCACAATACCCCTTCTCCCAACCATCCGAAGCAACCCCAGCTAGTCTTCCCCCTCCCCAATCAAGCCCACTCCCCTCTCCCGCTCCCCAACACCTCGTCTCGAACCATTCTCGAACCATTCCAACCCGCTTTCCCATTAACCCGCCCGCCTGAGATACATCCCCCCTTCTTCGAGCGCGTCAATCATCGTTTCGATCATCTCCGTCCATCCCTGTAGAAGATAACACCCGACACCGTCGGTAGTATATTGGGAAAAAAAATAAATGAACAGGTCATTACTAAAAATTCTCTGCATACAATCTGGTGTCGAAGCTCCACAGTGATTAGCAAACCTATGTCAAACCTTCCAGCTGCTAAGACTCACGCCAGGAGGGCTTGCGACAAAAGGGTTTATAACTAGTAACCCCATCCTTGCTTTTAACCACAGTGACTGTGTGCTACTGATTACAATTCACATTTGTACACAAGAATAGAACATCTCTCACTGCAACTCTCATCCAGGCGGCGTGTACTGTACAGCTTACGACAGTTCCCACTCAGACATCATGCAGGTTGCTGGTGGAAGTTATCATTCCTCATATGTAACACTGGATGTCAACTAGACCTACAATTGCGCATATACAGTGCAAAATGGCGTCGCTCACTGTCCTCGTGTCGTCACTCACTGTTCTCGTTCGTGTATAATATTGAATACTGCAGATCACTGCTCTTGCCCACATATGACTCAAAAGCCTGCTCGCGCAACATGCTAAGTACAGTCAGCAAGTGCCCTCATTCGTATAGTATAAAGAATTCATCGAGTGACTGTGTTAAACAGTCCTGGTCCATCTTCAGTACTGGGCAAGGCAGAACAATCACTATTCGATCAGATATGTCATTAGTTGTGCTGTGTATATAGCTCACAGTCCTCACTCATATACGGCATACTAGGGCGATATTGGTCATAGCTCTTACCCGTATGCTGTGTAGGGCAATGCTCAAGGATACCGAAGAGGATATTTCTCATAGTGATCTTTCCTCATCTAGTGTTGACAGTCGTCCAAAGCACTCACGACTCAATTATCACTCAATCCTTCCAAGGTGATTGCTCTCCGTTTATTGTGCAGGGGAGAGCTGTTTCAAACATTGAATGAGGCATAATTGTAATTTACCAAGCTCTTTGAAGACAATTTTCTTGATCTGTCACCTTTTCTTTATTTCACCTTTTGGCCAAACACAATTTTTGAACGAGGGAATCGTTAATCCCCATCAAATAAGTACTTAGCCAAAAGGTAAACAATCGTTCTCGAAATAACTTTCCTCTTTCCCATCAAGTCAGACAAGATTCTTAGGAAGCAGAAGTTGAATTCCCCATTGATTTAACCTAATGCTTGAAACGAAATAACCCCCTCAGATGTGAAAGAAGCTAATCAGACCAGTAAACTTTAAAGGCCGCTCAGTATCTGAAACATGTCCTTTAGTGGCCCAATTAGCTACTAATTAGTCACTCGTCAACAGAATCAATCAGCAAGAGAAGGGAAAGGAGAGAGGAAAGAGAACGAAAGGAAGCGCTCAAAGCCTTATCTGTAATTCGTACTTTGGCCGGCAGTCTTTTGATTTTCGAACAATAAACTTTCCTCCTCCTTTCTTCGACTTTGCCACTTCCGAAAGTAATCGGCGTCTACCAACCCAAGATGCACAAAAGATCTCTGACAATTCTGGTCACCATAGTCGATGTGGTTTCTTGGTAGTGGTGATTTAAGTAAGGTTACAAAAACTGGTCATGATAGTATGCTACTTGGCGACGAGTCAGTGACTTCAAAGGCTGGTACGGACTGAATGTCTCCAAGATTCTGACCGCAGTAATGTCCTCCCTGCATTGATCACAAATCACCTGCTTGCAAGGCACTGATCAGGGTGATGACGATCGCGCAGCGTGGGCGTACCCATCACGGAAATGGCCAAAGACTACTAAGCACCTATTCCTACAGTGCTCAACAGCCATTGCCACCTGGAGGTGGTGGGATGCATTCTGGACTCGTCTTACAGCTACAGACTGGCCCCGGGATTAGCGCTTCCTGCTCTCAGGTAGGCTGCCACTCGTTTTGGGGACTTGGTTTCAGAAGAACATGGCCCGATTGGATGAGTAGGAGTTCTCTGGGGAATCTGAACTACTGTCTTCATGTGAATAGAACGCCTGGTCATTATAGTCGTATTTGGGGCAACTTTCAGTCCAGATGCGGCGATAATGACCGGGCGTTCTATTTGGGTGAAGATGGTAGGTGTTGTGTTAGCAAGATAGAAATGATGGAGAAGAGTGAGGTAGACATCCAGGGTGTATTCACACTAGGTGACTAGTACTTTTTCTACGAAGCTCTGGAGTCTGGACATGATTACAGTCAGATTCATGCATGTCTGGCCTTAATTGGAGTCGGATGCATTTTGCAAAGTGCTAGTGTGAGTATGCCCCCAGTAGGTAATCAAGGTCGATTTGGATACTGAACTCCAAAGAGACTTTAGGGAAACAAAGGCGAGAATGAGAGCTGAGCCTCTTTGCCAAAACAGACTAGCACTTGTGTATGACTTCTGCTCAGACTGCTTAGGGGCCAAGGAAAAAGGAGTACTGGCAAGCGGAGGAGGAAGAAGAAGAAGAAGAAGAAGAAGAAGAAGAAGAAGAAGAAGAAGAAGAAGAAGAAGGAAGGAAGGAAGGAAGGAAGGAAGAAAGGAAGGAAGGAAGAAGGAAGAAGAAGGAAGGAAGGGAGGAAGGAGGAAGAAGGAGGAGGAAGGAAGGAAGGAGGAAGAAGGAGGAAGGAAGGAAGAAGAAGAAGAAGGAGGAAGGAAGGAAGAAGAAGGAGGAGGAAGGAAGAAGAAGGAAGGAAGGAAGAAGAAGAAGACGAAGAAGAAGAAGAAGAAGAAGAAGAAGAAGAAGAAGAAGAAGAAGAAGAAGAAGGAAGGAAGGAAGGAAGGAAGGAAGGAAGAAGGAAGAAGGAAGGGAGGAAGGAGGAAGAAGGAGGAGGAAGAAGGAGGAGGAAGGAAGGAAGGAGGAAGAAGAAGGAGGAAGGAAGGAAGAAGAAGAAGAAGAAGGAGGAAGGAAGGAAGAAGAAGGAGGAGGAAGGAAGAAGAAGGAAGGAAGAAGGAGAAGAAGAAGGAAGGAAGAAGGAGAAGAAGAAGGAAGAAGGAGAAGACGAAGACGAAGAAGGAGAAGAAGAAGAAGAAGAAGAAGAAGAAGAAGAAGAAGAAGAAGAAGAAGAAGAAGAAGAAGAAGAAGAACGTACTTCCTGACTTAACCACCAAGGATAGGGCGGCAATGGATGAGTCTTGGGCTTCGAAACCTGCTTGTCTTTGCTTTTGGCCCTTTTCCTGTTTACCCCTTGTCACTTAACCCTGTTAGCTGGTATGGCCTGGACTGATCTTGGATGCATGTTTTACTCTGAAGGAGGGGCGGGAGCCAAGTGGCAATGCAAAATCAGGCAGGCCCCGTTGGCCCCTGTAGAGACTTTCCGTCGCCTCTTGTATATGTGGGAAGATATTCAATCCCCATCCCAAAATGGGCTGGGCAATCAATGCTGGATTGCTCGGTCCTCAGTTAATCCGGTGTATGTAAAAGAGACGCATTACCCATTTCCTACCTTCTTCTCCCGAATACAACGTACGGTCATTATAGCTGTATGTATTTGGGGTATCTTTCAGTCTAARTACAGCTATAATGGCCGTACGCTGTATTCGGGGGAAGAAAGTAGCTTGGTATTATCATACATTGTATATGAAGGGACGCTGGGCCGGCTTCACAGAACATGTTGCTCCTTACAAATAGATTGGGCTCATTGGAGGCATCCACATGGGCAGAGCTCTATGGGGCCAAGGTCTCTCCTCAACCCTGCCTGATTGACAGCCTCCAGGCCATGTTTACTCCCAAAAAAAAGAAGGAAAAAAATGCGAGACTGAGTTGGCAGACTCTCATTTTAAGTTTTTTTTCCTTTCCAAAATGCTATGTCCAGGGACTTCTCACAAGGAGAGAAAAAAACAGGATAGCATTGAGCCTGATTCCTTCCAACCCAGTATGGCTAGCATTGAGCCTGAATTTACTTTTCTCCTTTGTTTCTATAATTGATACCGTTCTTCTCCTTTCTTTTCTATAATTGATACCCTGAAGCAGGATACGGCGTTTCCCTCCAGTGATGCGGACGGCAAGAAGGAAAAAGAGAGAGGAATAGTTCAAAAAAATCGAGAGAGATTGTGTGGCCATACCCAGCCGCAGGGTTCTGCTGCTGGACACCCTGGAGATGAAGTCTTCTCCGATGTTCCTGATGAGGTTGACTCGGAGTCTGTGCAAACGTCTACCCGAAGTGTAAGGAAGAAGAGAGGGAAAGGTAACGCCCATGGGGAGCTGTCGGAAGAGATTGAATCTGAGCCGTTCCAGAGCACGGCAGATGTACAGTCATCACACTCATCAGCTGTGATTGAGGACGTAGTGCCATCGGCAGCAGAAAATGTTGAGATTATCGAGAGTGATGTAATGGCTGCTTCATTGCATGAATCTGTGGCATCATACGCCGGTAGCGAGATCGATCGCGATGTGGGCTCCGTAGCTGCATCCGTACCGGCAATTGACTCTGACATGGCAGCCGACAGCAGCGATCAGGACAGGCAAAAACGTCGACCAGCAACATCCACTGAGGAATTGCAGAGAGAGGATGGAGGTTATGATAGACAGCCAGAGGAGATCCAGTCCGAGACTGATGTGAGTAATAAGGGTGCACCAGGGAGGACATCCAGGAGTGAGGATGAGGTGCCAGAATGGTTAAGTTCCACAGAATCCCATGCTGATGATCTTGTCAATAGAAAGAATGAGACGAGACATCACATTGTGCACAACCAGATGCTACTTATTCCTGCCAGGGGGAAAGTGGTGGTCCCCTCTGAGAAGGTCGGCGAGCACTCGCCCACGATGCATGTCGCCAGGCATGACTCAGATCTTGAACGAGCAGACACGGTTGATGAATCGCTAGCCACTTCTTCCAATAAGAGTGGCCAGCTGCTACTTCTGCCCGGCATGGGGGAAGGGGTCCAGCCTGAGTCTGCGAAAGTTGTCGAGCGCTCGCCGATGGCGCAAGTCCCCGGGCATGACTCAGATCTCGAACAGGTAGACATGATTGATGAATCGCTAACCACATCCTCCAATAGGAGTGGTCAGACACTTCCACCTGCCAAGGGGAAAGCGGTCCAGTCTCAGCTTGAGTCAGATCTTGAGCAAGTCGACATGATTGACGAATCAGTAGCCACATCTTCCAGTAAGAGCGGCATGCTCACCTCGAGGACCCTGCATGGTTCAGCTGTGCATACAAGTCCATCAGAGCAAATAGACTCAGAGATGGAAGGAGGAGAGGGTTTGCAACAACATTTATTGACCAAAGATACACGCGATTCTGATGTTCCCTTTTCTGAATCGGTGGCCACATCATCAGGTGAAAGAGGGACACTAGCTGTGAGGGCAACTTATCCAGCTTTGCATGAAATCATGCTAGATCGCAGGGTTCAAGACGGGATCGGACTAGGCGCACGAGTGCCTCCAGGAGATGATATTGATGAGCAATCGGAGCATGAATCAGGCCTTCATCCTGCCGATACAGTTGACGAATCTGTAGGGACGTCAGCAGATGAAACTAGAACAACGGTGGCACAGTCAATCCCTCGGGCGTTGCGTGTAGAACCTTCCTTTGTGGTGGCAAACACCGAAATCGAAGGAGAGGATCTCGAGGAAGTCATCACCGAGCAATCTGAGCTTGACTCAGATCTTCCCGAAACCGACTTGATTGATGAATCTATGGCAACATCGGCAGATAGCACGATGATGTCAACCTCTTTGTATCCGTCTGCTGCGATCATCGATTCCGATCCAGACATGGAGCAGTACAAGGATGCCTTAGCATTGCAGGGAAAAAGGGAGGAAGTCCTGAGAGAGCATAAGGTCTTCCTGAAGATGAACCCTGGTAAAAGGCACAATCATACATCGGCGACATTGGTGGATGGGGGACGGGTGCAGCCTGCGCAGAGCAAGGGGATTCATCGTGATGTCCACTTGCACCTGCATTCTGATGAGAAAGATAGTGCTTACGAGGAAGAGGAAAGCAAGGAACGACCTCCGCAAGTAGCTTCTGCTGCAGAACTCCAGGATTTGAAAGCCTCCGAGGCAAATGAAAATCGCCAAACAGAGATCGAAGAGGCGGCATATGACAACATAACAGGAGTTTCAAGTCCAGGCTCGTACGATCTTGCTAGCAGAGCAGTCTCTCTGCGTCATTCGTATCCAGTTGGTGATGAAAAGTCTCTGGGAGGTGGAGGTGGGCAGATAGCTGGTGGCATAGAAAGGGTGTTGTCGTCTGTGTCTTCTGGGCTGGTGGACATTTCTAGTGATGAGGTAGAGTCAGGAAGCTCTCTGGAACAGAGTGGCAAAGGCTATGGAGTGGTCACCAAGATCGTGTCCATGGCGGCCAAGCCCTATAATATGGATGGAGATGAGGCTATTAAGCAAAGACTTCAAAGTATTAGGATGGACACGATGTCAACGATATCATCCAGAACGACGAAGCAGATGTCGCACAGTGTGGTTGAAGCTCTGAAAGCAAAGCAGGTTGAGCAGGGAAGAAAAGGAGACAAGAACGAGCAATACAATGACAAGGAAGAGAAGGTGGAGGAAAAAGAAGAGGATGTGGAGGAGGAGGTGGAGGAAGAGGTTGAGGAGGAGGTTGATGAACCTGAGGTTGCCACCTTTTTAGACGGCACTAATTTGGGGTACGAGAAGTCCGGCGATGTCTCCAAGGGTCTTGGAACCGCGGGTCTTGCTACCGCGGCAAGCAGGGCTGTTGCAATGAATGAAAAACCACGTTACCCGAGTGAAGCCGCGGCGGGGGAGCCAACAACTTCATCTCCAACATCACATCAGTTACTAAACACTGAGCTTGGGGGTTTGAGATTGCAACAGAGGGGAAGAGAGAAGCAGCAGGAGGAAGATGAAGGGGTAGAGGAAGTGGAGGAGGATGTAGAGGGGTTGGAGGAGGCTGCGATGATTCCTGGAAGCTTGAGTGAAACAGGAAGGAAGGTTCAGGACAGAAATTATCAGGGCATCCAAGTCAAAGCAACACCTCTGTCAGTAGGATCAGTAGATGTGATTGATGGCTATCAATCGAGTGAGAAGAAAGGAAGAGATAGTGAGTCTGACGTACAGCAGGGTTTCAAAGAGACCCTTCTCCCGAATGCAGATGGTCATGAAATGGGGAGTGACTCTCAACTTGGAGCACTGGCAGAGGGGCAGTTGCAAAATTTGTGTCACCAAACACAGGGCCAGATAAGCAGAATGAATGGCAGTGAAACCATAGCAAAAACACGTGACAAAGACTCAACTCAAACGCATGGAGGTGGTGTACTTCAAGCAGTCAGGGATATCGGTGAAGTCAGGACGCAGGATGACTTCATGTACTCGTCAGTGTCCGGGAAAGATGGGAATCTGTGGCAATGGAAGCTAGACAAGGATCGGAAGATGAGGCTTGAAGCTGCACTTTACTTAGCTGAATGCCTTCTTTCCAACACGCTGCAACAAGAGATAACATGTGAGCAAGCCTCATCTTTGAAAATCTTCCTCCTCGCCTTCAACCCCCCCCCCCCCCCCCCCCCCCCCCGACCTCTCCTCCCAAAAAGAAACATAAATAAAGGGATGTATTTTATAATTTTATTGTTGTTGCGCCAATTCACGAAATGCCTGCGTTCACGAAGTTCCCTGTACCTCACCAGCACGCCAGCTCAGTCGGTACACCCGTGAACTTTTGAAATAGAGACCCAACTTCGAATCCAAGTGCGATCAGACGAAATAATAAAATAATCCTGAGCTACCTAAGTGCAAGGAAAATGAGAGAGAGCGAAATGACAGAAATCCAGAGTGCAAAATCACATTGAAAGCCAGCAAGTCCAACGCTGTCCAGAAGGCAGAATGCACTGATATACCACCAACGGAGAAGCAAAGCACTGAATCCGAATGCCAATGAGAGCATACTCTCGCCACCACCAACATATGTATCCAGAGTCCTTCCTCCTACTTGGCGCTCAGCGCCCAGACTACGATCACACAGCTACTAGCAGCCTACGAATTGACAATGAATCCTGTTGACGTCAGCAGCAACAACTGAAGTACGTGAAGATGTCGACCTCGTAGACCATTGCCAACACCACACTTAGACCAGGTACGTTCCCTCACATCATTATCCTCATCACTCTCTCTCTCTCTCTCTCTCTCTCTCTCTCTCTCTCTCTCTCTCTCTCTCTCTCTCTCTCTCTCTCTCCTCTTCTCTACCCACATCTTCCCCCACATACACGAAGACCCGCTGACTGTCCACGCCGAGCCCGGCTATGGTCGGGCTGGCCATGGTGCTGCCCTCAGCAGCACCCTGCCTCTCTTCGACACCCATGTGCGCCTGCCTTGCACCTAGCGCTAGTACACAGCGCACAGCCTGTGAGCGCACGCTCAAGCGGCACTGCCTCAGGCACTACGTAGTGCCCGACTACCCGATACAGAGCCCGGCCGTTTCCTATATGGAAAGTGGCGGGCGTTTTCCCTTGCTTCCCACGTGTGACCGAGTTTCCAGTAGCTTCAGTCTCGGCCAAAGTGTCTGCGCCCAGGCCCATTTAGACAGTGGCCTGGGACTGATTTGGTTAGGCATGCCCAGAACCCTCACAAATATTTTGGATTCTCACGAGCAAGGCGGATGTAACCAACTGGCGCGTGGCAACTGTCTGGCGCCCACCAAGATTTGCAAAAATTGTCGAACGCAGGGCACATTGAGATTCAGGGGGGCCACCTTCACTTAGGGCGGGCACGCGCCTGCTGCAGGGCCTTACGTCGAGGGGTAAACCCTCGCACTCCCTCCTCCTCTACTTCGATAGTCCTCTGAGAAGTCGTTACTCAGCAGGCTGCTTCCCTTTCAAGTTTCTTTCATAACTTGAGATAATATAAGGAGCGATCTTCATCAATTCTTCTCTTGTAAACCACCGATCGTCTTCAGGGTCCGTATGATGTCGGAACCACACTCGATACTCTACATCTGCGGTTTCAGCGGGCGTCCCCTGCCTGGACGCTTGGGCACAAGCGTCAGCTTGTGCTCGACGATATCGTTGATGTCCACATGTCCGTCCATGGTTGGGGCCAGCATCGACCTTCTTGAGGGAAACTGTTCAGTTTCAGTGAAGGGTGCCAACTTAGATGCATGGAAAACAGGGTGTGTACGGAGATGACCAGGAATGCGAATAACATATGATGAACCATCGGGTTGATCTCCTCCTATGTCCAAAATTTCCCAAGGTCCGAAGTATTGTGGCATCAGTTTGCGTGAGATTCCCAACTCCTATCCCAATTCAGATGACTTCACCGAGACTCGTTCACCTACCTGAAATGGAAACAGTCGTCTGTGTCTGTTCTCGGAGGCAACCATGGCATCTTGAGCGTTCTTGATGTGCTCTACGGCCTGCTGCAGCATCTGTTCGTACTTGACAGCAAACTCTATGCTACCAGGTTTTGCGGTTGGCTGATTTTCAGGCAACAGGAAGTCAAGAGCAGATCTGGGCTTCCAACCAAGATGCATCTGGTTAAGGGTCTTATCGGTAGTGTTGTGCACAACATTGTTGTACAGGCTGACGATGAGAGGTAACTTCTCATCCCAGTCCTCTTGACTTGGTCTAATATAATGCCGAAGCAAGTGCTGCACTACCCGGTTCATCTGCTCGGCATGCCCATCTGAGTCAGGGTGGTTCCCTGATGTCATTTGCAGTCGGGTGCCCATCTGTTGGGTTGTACTTTGGCACAGTCCGCCAGTGAATCTGGCATCCCTGACGCTCACAATAGACGTACGGAGACCGAAGTCACGTACCCAGTTGTCCATGAATAGCTTGATGGCGTGCTCAGTCCTAGCTGTCTCAGGCATAGCAATTAGTCTAGTATACTTAGTGAACCTGTCCACAATGACGAAGATGTGTCGTTTACCGCTCTTGCTGGTCACAAGGGTATCCATGAATTCCATGGACACACTTTGGCCTGGAGCATCAGGGATGGGCAAGGGCTTGATAAGCCCAAGTGGTGCCTGCGTCCATGACTTGCCACGCTGGCAAACCTGGCAAGTTTCTACATACTTCTTTGCATCATCCATCATTGTGGACCACCAGAAACGCTGAAGTAAATTTGTTGTTGTCTTTGAATAGCCGAAATGTCTGGTTGCATCGTGACACTCACCTAAAAATCAACTACACAAAGACTCTCAATTCGGCACACACAAACATTTATTCCCAGCCTTCTCAAGGAAGAGCAAGCCGTCAACCAGCACAAACTCATCTGAAGTAGCCTTATCTTTAGCTTCCAGTTTGCGGATGATATCAGACATGACAGTGTCCTCTTGATAGGCTACCACCATAGATCGAGTTACATCTCAGAAATCCCAAACTTAGTCACTAGTGCAATCAGACTCGTTTTCAAACACACCTTTCACACATGTAAACAGTAACGCAGCACACTGGCGACATGCGCCCACTCAAAACTCAGAGATATGGTTTTCAGATACGAGTTCACTCCCAATTGGCTATGGCGACCTCAGCGCACAAACATCTCACTGTTCACATACACTGGATCACCCTGGATATCCCACACGCATCACTCTAACACTCGAGCACACACACACACT